GAGCAGGGAGCCCGATGCGGGACTCGATCCCGGGACTCCAGGATCATGACCTGAGCCGAAGGCAGTCGCTTAACCAACTGAGCCACCCAGGCGCCCAAGAACAATATATTTTTGAATGTTTTCCATTTTGACTCAGTTATGCATACATGTTTTAATTACCAAAATTCCAAAATAGTACAGTCTGAGTTTATATATATATTTTATAAATATGTATTAATTGTATCAATATATATATTTTATAAAAAATAAGTTATATAAAATTGTATATTATATATATATGATTCCAAACATAATTTAGAAAAAATAAAATACGCTGTTATGAGATAAGAAGTAATTTCTTCTAAAACTAAAACTAGTAATTTCTGATCACATCAACAACATAAAATTGGAATAAAAATAACTAAACCTAAGAAATATACAGAGTCAAATAAAAGTCTGCTCTTGCTATTAAGTCAGTATTCAAAATCACTGTGAGTGTATTATTTTAGTTATACAGTTTTGCAACCTCAAAAATGTACTTTTTGGAGAAGGAAAAAAAAAGGGGGGGGGTTTCCTGCTAGTTACGAGCCTAGCCTTCACAAAAATAGTAAATAAAAGAATTAACTATGAGAGCCAAGCGATTTTCAAAGCCCAGTTGCTCATTAAGAGGCTTAAGTAACGTACTGTAGCTCATCACTGCAACCCACAGAGGGAAGTCCTTGCTAAACCACAGTCCCTCAGTTACAGAATGAATACCGTAGCCACGGCTGCTTCCAAGACCAGAACGTGAGCAAAGCCTTACCTTATTATATTACTATATTATATTTTGCTGTAATGACGAGGGTGAGAAACTACTGCCACTGGTCTCAGCATCTGCCCGCGTCATTTACCGCACAGGTTCCCAGCCGCACTGCACACTAGCAACACCCGGGGAGGCTCAGAACTGTGCCCGAGTGTTGTTGAGGGGCAGCCCGGGGCACTGGCAGTCTAAAAGACACCTAGGTGATGGGGATGGACAGCCGGTGCCGTGAATCAGGGAGTAGCTCCCACACCTCGCGGCCCGGACTTCTGTCTTGCCCTCCAGTGACATCCTCTACTAATGCTGCCAGAATGATCTCTCCGTAATGCCTACAGAATTAAATTCAAACTTCGGAACACATCGTAAGACTCCACACGATCTGCTTTTAAATACCGACCGCTGCCTCTCCCTGGCTCCCTGCCACCAGCCCCAGCAAGCGTTTGTTTCCAGCGTGCCTGCCCCAGCCTCCGGGCCTGCGCATGGACTCATTCCTTCAGTCCTTGCTCGGACGTGTCCTCCAATGTTTACCTCTTTATCTGCCTGGAGAACTGCGTCGTCTCCAAGAAGTCTGTCCTCACATCCTAGCCTCTTCTCCTCCATCCATGTTCTCAAAGCCCAAGTGTATTGGGATTCTTGTTTTTGTTTGTTTTGTTTTTTTGACTAATCATATTGAACTGTCATTTTAGAACATATGTCTCTCTCATCTTCATTAGACATTTTTGGAGCAAGGACGATGTCACATTTGCTTCTGTATCCCCCAAATTTAGCATACGGTCTAGCTTATACTGGCATTTTGTACCTGCTAAATACATGAATTAATAGCATTTTATACTATTTTCATTTATTATAGACAGAGCCAGAGGAGATTCATTTTGGGCCCACCAAAAAAGACAAGCTTACACTAAAAAAAAAGGATTAGTATTTACTTAATATTTAGTAATAACAGTGACAATTACTTTAGAAGATTAGTCATCCCATTAGGCTACTAAATGAATTTTAAACATGGTTAAAGTCAAAGAAAAACTTTAGTTAAATCCTCAATCGTGCTTTCTTATCATCAGCCTCCCCAAACCACGTATTTTCAGAATCACAGCCAATATATACTCACCTTAGATTTCGGTAAGGGAAGGAAGCCCACTTAATGCCCACCACAAGTTGGCCTAATTTGGCATCATGTGACATCTAACCCACAACTCTGGTGAACATGCTTACTTTGTATTTGCTTTCTGATCTGGAAGGGGTGGGGATATGTCCTTTTTTCTTGAAGGTTGTAAAGTGCTTGCACTGAGGACATGGCTTGGTGCTGGAATCAATACGGCCAAGTTCCAAGAAGTACTTATATTTGATGGAATCTTCATGGGTTAAGTTAAAGACAATCGTTCTTTCTTCCAGGAATTCAAAACATTCTGTGATAGGGCATTTGATTTCTACTTGGCCAAGTTGTACCTGTGAGAAAGAGCACATGGGAGACAAAAAAAAAAAAAAAAAAGACACTGGTTAATCTCTTCTTTTTTTCTCATATATTATCACTTATTTCATCATTACAGTAAAGGATTATCCATCATTTTTCCGGATTTCTAACATAGTAAATGGTAATCACTTTGGTACCTACATTAGGCTGTACCAAAATAATTAATCACTATATAAATTTTCCAAAATGATTTACAGCATATTTAAGCATTCTCTATCATCGTATTTGTGAACTCAAATAGACCTAAGCCACAGGCTCAGCAAAGAAGCAAATTATCATCCCATCCTTCTGGAAACCTCAGGGTAAGAGGGCGTTCAGACAATATGCCAGCTAAAGGATGAAAAGGTGGTTCAGATTTTTCAACCTTACTACGGAGCATCTCAGCACTAAACTTAGGGCAACTGTACTTTAAAAGAAATAAAAAGGATTTTGAAAAAAAAATATCTATATATATGTACATATAGATATATATCACCTAGTAGTTTAAAAATACTGTAATAATAACCTCATCTTCCCTGACTCTTCCATGTAATAGTTTTTATGTCATCAGAATCACAGGAACAAGTAAGAAAATTACACAAATCACATTGGTTTAAAAAAAAAAATCCATATGTTGGGACGCCTGGGTGGCTCATTCAGTTAAGCGTCTGCCTTTGGCTCAGGTCATGATCCCAGGCTCCTGGGACGGAGTCCCGCTTCAGGCTCCCTGCTCAGCGGGGAGCCGGCTTCTCCCTCTGCCTGCCGCTCTCCCTGCTTGTGCTCTCTCTCTCTCTCTCTCATCTCTGGCAAATAAATAAATAAAATCTTAAAAAAAATCCATATGAGATTTGGCTACAACTGAGGCTATTTATAAAATGAATTTCTCCCCAGGGCCACAGAGTTAAGTTAGGAGAGAGGAGAAGGATGTACTAGAATGCTACATTTAGCATTTGGTATAGGATTCTAGATAAGGTTAGCATTAAAGATTACAGCAAAAGATTAAAGCACAAAGTGTGGACAGAACTAAATTTTAAAAGATGAAGAAAATAAACTATTTAAAATTAAGGAGTTCCATAAATGTCTCCATAAGTAGTGAACAAGAAGTGTTTATTGTATTTATATATCATGGCATCATAATCTCCTTTTGCATATAGCAAAGGGAGACAGTGAAAGTTCCAAATGGCAAACAATGCTAAACTGTTTCTTTTTCACTTGGGTGAAGCTGACATTCTGAGAAGGCAAAACACACTGACCTTAATGAGAAAAAGCCCTCCCTGAAAACTGAGGGAGGAATGGGGAAATGCTATGCTGTCTGGGAAAAGAAAAACATCACCACAAAGAGCAATTAAAAAAACACACAACTGACATCATAGTAACTTTTCTTTTAACTTTGCTGTTTATCTGGCACAGACTTGAGGATAGGTAGTTAAGAAGCCACAGGCTAAAGGATGCATGGGATGATACATTTAATATGAATAAAGGACATGAGCCAGACTGATAATGAAATGAAGGAGTCTGGCTTTAGATAAACCTCCTTCTTAGGATCAACCTGCTGAAAATGTCAATTGCTACATAATTTTATATGACTATTGTACAAAACACAGTCTAGAGAGGTTTTTCAAATATCAGCCCAAAATAATTTTTCTACTTTTTATGTTGTTAGAGTTATGAAATGTTATTATAAACCCAATTAAATTTTATAATGCATTGTTTTCAGTTATAGCTCAGTTTAAATCTTCAGATTTTAAACAGACAAAAAACCATGTGTGACATTATTAGAAACTGGGTTAATGAAGCAAATAAAACTTTTTAAAAATTAATAAATGTTTCCTTTTTTAATATTCTGTCAACATTTATCAAGCCTGCTTCTGAGCCAGGTATTGGGTTAGGCACTGAAGCTTTGCAGTGCCCATCAGAAAAGAAGTGATCATGATACAGAGTGTGAGTCTGCCTGACGGACAAGAACAGGGTGTCAGGAGAGGATATGGGGGAGGCTGAGTAACCTCACACTTTGGAGGTTCAGACGAGGCTTCTAGGAAGAAGTGAGGTTTCAAGTGAGATCTTAAGATTAGTAGGACTTAGCCAAACAAGGGTGAAGGTGTTTCAAGCAGACAGAAGATACACCATGGACGAAGGCCTGGAAGTAAGAGAATATGGCATCCTATAGCAGGGGTATTCCATATTTTGCCCACCTCCTAACTGGATCAAATGTATACCGCCCTAAGGTACATGCATCCTAACCTAAAGATGACAGCCTCAGAGGGACTGAAAGATGATCAGTAAGACTGGACCACAAAGTCAGAAAGATAAGGGTGTACAGATGACCTGGGATCAGAGCGTGAGGGCAGAGCATGAAGCCATCCTAAAAGTTTGGATGTTTTCATAAGAAAATAAAAAAAACCCTCCAGTTTTCAGCAAGTGAAAACCAATTTGTTTTCATTCCACACAGAAGGAGCTCCCTTGGGCCATTTCAAGTGACTCTTGTTTATTGGGGATCAGCATACTTTAGGGGATAGGAGCCAAATTTTTTGCTACCAGGTCAATGTTTTAATCTGGCCTCCCTCCCCTATAAATTTATTTTAACCATACAATGATAACAATGGAAGCAGTAAGTTCAGAACCAACCAGGGATAGTCAGGTCTTATAGAAATGGAATGTAGTTTAGGGACCAGAGCAATTCAAGGCAGCTCAAGGGAGTAGATTCTCTTGTTACTCCTTCAGCAGTGAGTGCTCATTACCACACCACATTGGGTATTACCTACCATCTAACATCCAACCAGAGGACCTTGTCTTCAGTGTTTTTCAAATCTGTCTGCATACCTATCCATTTCCTTAGAACGCACAATTTCTTCATGCTCTCAAACTCTCTGCATTTTGCCTATTCTATACCTTCTCTTCTTTCTGAAAGCTCCAAAATCCTTACCCTGAACTGAACAAAATGATCTCTATTTTATTAAGCAGATAGAAGCAGACAGAAGAAGCAATAGGATCATAGCTTCTCGTCTTCCCACTACCAACTGTCTCTGAATCTATGTCTGTCCCCATATTTTCTATCCTCTTTCCTTTTCAAGCATAGGGCCTGAATCTCCAGGACAACTGCTTGAGTCTCTTAAAGGGTTTGCTGAGAATTCAAGTTTTATGGCCCACCCAGGACCTACAAAATTTGAATCATTGCTGGTAAGCTAGTAATTGACAATTTGGAAAAATTACTCTTACAGTTCTTTGAATTACTCATAGTTCTTCATACTAAACAATATCTCCTTTTTCATAATAAAATGCTACTCATGACCTATGCAATCTCTGGGCCTCTACATATCTTTCTCAGAATAATTTCCTCAAAAAAATCACTACCAAATAAGTAATCATGATTAAGCAAAGTTCATTCATTTATTTATTCAACAAGATTTGTATTTCATCAGTTCAAGGACACATTTTTTCAGCATTTTTAAAAAAATTTTATCTTATTATGTTATGTTAATCATCATACATTACATCGCTAGTTTTTGATGTAGTGTTCCATGATTCACTGTTTGTGTATAACACCCAGTGCTTCATTCAATAGGTGCCCTTTTTAATACCCATCACCAGGCTAACCGATCCCCCCACCCCCCTCCCCTCTAGAATCCTCAGTTTGAGCATTTTAATATCTCAAAAGTCAGGACTGTCTTATCATCAATAGTCTTTAGCATTGTCCCATAGTTTAATTTGCAGTTTTTATTTTCTTGGTGGCACATAATATAATACTGCATCCTACAATTGATCATGTCTTAGATTTCAATGAAATGTGGTTTTTACAAGTTAGGCACCATGGTGGACTCTGGAGAAATGAGGGGAGAGAGACACAGAGCTTCTTTGCAGGAAATGTATAATAAGTAAATAAGCCAGGCATATTATAGTCAGTGCTTGAGGGAACTACACATCAGGGAAGGGATCTCTAAGGGAGAACTTGAATGGGTAACTAAAGTGCCCATCATGTAGAGAAACTGGGGAAGAGACTACAGGCAACAGAAGCAAGGACATGGCCCCAGGGCACAAGGTGTCTGATGGGCTTGTGTTCACAGAACAGAACTGTGTGACTGAGACACGTACCAAATGAGCCAGAGCACACAGACCTTGTTGGCTGTGATAGGAAGTTATGGATTGTATTCTAAATTCAGTGTAAATCATTGACTAGTTTTATGAGGCGGAGTGACATACTTTGATTGACATTAAAAACATCACTCAGGCTCTTCCTGGAGAATGGACTGCAGAAGGACAAAAGTGGAGACTGGGAGAATAATAGGACTCTGGATTGTACTTTTCTTCTTACCAGTGGCCTCTGACTGTTTCAGCCCTCTAGACGGTCGATGGTGGATGATGGAACTAGGTGATGGGAGTAGCCAGATATGGGGCACATTTTGGAAGTGGAGCCAATGGGGTTTGGTGATGGGGTTTGGCAGATATTGAAAATGAAGTAAAGGGAGGAAGCAAAGATAACTAGGATTTTGGCTTGAATAATCCTATGCTGAGGGATGCTATTCACTGAGAAGTGTCTAATAAAATACAGTTTTCATGGATATGTGATATTTGCTGGAAAGGATTCACTGCAAATTTATTATAGCAACAAGAATAAAGTTCATTAATTCATCCAAAAAAAACATATATTTAACTCTTAAGATATTACAAGTAAAAGACATAGGTCCAGGATATAAAGTAGCTTAAGCTATGAATCTTGCTCTTGTGGAACTTGAGAATACAGCAATCAAAGTTGTGTTGATAGCCTCTTCTAGCAACTGATGATTTGATGATACTAATTCACTTAATATTTTACCCACTGTTTAAAACATTTTTTATTAGGGTAATCATGAACATACGCAAAAGTAAACAGATTGATATTATGAATCTTTAAGTACCCATTCTCCAGCATCAACACTTATCAACTCTTGGCCAATCTTGTTTCTTCTGTGCACTGAACCATATGGTCCTCCCATATTATTTTGAAGCAAATAGCAAACAT